TATCCTTGTAGTCTCTTGCAACCGTATCCTTGAATATCCTTGTAGTCTGCTGGTGTACTTTTTAAGGTCTGTGCAACCATGTCCATGAAAAGCCGCATCCTTGAATTTACTGTAGTCTGCTTGAATACATATTATGGTATTTGCAACCGCATCCTAGATCTTTGTAGTCTGCTTGAGTATTTATTAGATCTCTCGCAACCGTATCCTTGCAGACTGCATGAGAACTTATTAAGGATTCTTGCAACAATATCCGAATATTTAGGTCTCTTGCAACCATATCCTTGAATATCCTGTAGTCTGCTTGAATACTTGTTAAGGTCTCTTGCAAACGTATCCTTGAATATCCTGTAGTCCGCTTGAGTACTTACTAGGGTATTTTGCAACCGTATCCTAGATCTTTGTAGTCTGCTTGAGTACTTATTATCTTACAACCGCCTGCTTGACTACTTATTAAGGTCCCTTGCACTGAATCCATCCCGACTCTTGAGCACCCAAATCTTATGTTCCTGTCCCGTGTCTAGAGTACTTATCCAGGTCTCGAATTGAAGACCCACTTCCCATCTAAGACCACAGACTATTAGGATCATTTTTTATTTACCATATAATAATCATAGTATAAGTTTATTCCTCAATAAAAACATAAAATCACACTAAAGCCACTGGATTTCTCAAGTTCCTATTTCCTAACAACTCTTTGAAACATCTTTGCTACACTTTGCCACTTGTGCCCTCAATCCAAATATTAGCTCTATTCTTACTAGGCTTATTTAGTTTATTCTTCTACTTTTTGAACTACTTTCTGAATAAATGTTATACCTTATACCTCACTGTAGTACAGTTTAAAATTTATTTGTGCATTTTATTGCAACAATCAAGAGATGGACACATAACTTTCAAGTTCATTTATGCATGTCCACCCTACAATCCGTCTTGTTGGTCAGTCAGTCCAAGTATATTTGTGAGCAATGACATTTATTGTTTATTTGACACACATATTTACACAACCCTTTTGTTTGGCCTAAGGTCGAGCCCTAGTGAAATTCATTGTAATCGCTTCATAAGCCGATTTCAAGTTTATTGTGTGTGGTATGAGCCCAAATAGGCTCCGACCGAATTTAGCCTAGAAAAATGTTTGTCAAATTTGGTGAAAATCGATCCAAGTATAGCTATATCTCCAATATATATGTTTTATACGATTTGATATTTAAATCCCCCACATCCGTAAGATGCACTTCATAAGAATGACATTGGGCACAATATATCAGATACACCATTTATATACTTTTCCCAAATTTGTTCGAGATCAAGATCTCACCCCTCCTTATCAATATTAAATCCAATTGTATATTTCATGTTTTTTTGGCTCAGTCACTTTGTCTGGCATTTGAATTATTACTCAGTCATCATTACCCCATATTTTTGGTGAACGAATTATTTAACATTATAATTTTTTTTCTTTTCCAAAATTTTGCAAGTCATGACATTGGATGGTGACATTGTATTATAAAAAATATCTGGTCACTAGACAAACAATACTGCTAGAGATAAGAAACATTTTAACTTATCAAATTCTAAAATCGATGAAACTGATTGTTTACCCCTTACGAGGCGGTAAACAAAACATTTTCCCATACTCGCTTTCAGTATTTAAATCGTACTCGCAACTAACGTACAGTAGCTTTGTCAACGACGGAACAATGAAATTAATGTTCGTGCTAATCACTAATCTACTGTTGTTAGGTGCCAGCAATGGGGCAAAAATCTTATCGGTATTCCCTTATCCCGGACCATCGCAATATATTTTTATTTCACCGTTGCTAAAAGCATTGGCCGAAAAAGGCCATGACGTGACGTCGATTTCAACATTTCCCCAATAGAAGCCGTTTAAAAATTTCCGCGATATTGCTGTTATGGAAAATGCCCAAATGTATGATGGTAAGTCGGTTGCACTGTTTTTTTTTCTTTTTTGAAGAAATGCATTAGATAAATGCATTCGCGAATTATTGTGAAACATTTTTATACCCTTAATAATGTGGCTATATAGGGTATCATTTGATACGGCCAAAACACGCCTGTTCGAAATAACGGGTTTAGATCCTAGATCTCTTTGGATCAAATCGGTTTCAGGACATTTGGAGTCGATCTAGCGATGGCTGGCTGGTGCGCGAAGTCTCGAAGGGAGTATCCGATTTGATCCAAACTTGGTACATCGGAATATTATTATCAAACTTATGTCGAGTTCCGAAATTTTCATAAAAAAAAAACTTAACAGAAAGAGAAAGGATAATCCGATTTTGCTCCAACTTTGCAAACCCAAACATTTGCGAAAATGGACAATATCGGTCTATCATCAAGTACCTTCCACATAAAGGGTTAACATTCTGAATAATTATAACTCTCATAAAATGTAATGCAAGAGTCCGATTGTCTTCAAATTATACAAATCACAATACTTTTATTATCAAAAGGTATGGTGTGAAGATGGTAGATATCGGTCCACTCCTTTCGTACCTCTCCCCAAAAGGGTCAACATTTTGAAAATTCATGCGTAATTAAAATCCGATTCCATTCAAATTTCACATTTTTGCTAACACAAGATCTGTTGTGATGATGGTATATATCTACGAACCACTTCTGGTACCTCACCCACAAAGGGTTACAATTTCCAATACTTTTATCTGGCATAACTTGCGAAACAAATCAGCGACTCTTTACAACTTGGTGTATCTAAATCAGGGTGAGATAAAAAAAAAACTGCAACAAAGACAAACGCATATATTTTTCCATTTTATGTGTGTTTTGATTATTCAAAACGTTGACCCTTTGTAGGAGAGGTACAAGAACAAGTGGACCAGTTGTATCCATCATTGTTCCTGAGCTTTGACAGATATTAGTACTACTACAAGATGAGATTTTAAATTATTCAAATGTTTGATCCCTTGCGGGAGAGAAGCCCCATTTAAACTATTTGTATCAATTTCAACGAAAGGTTATGATAAATTGCATTTTTGCTTGCACCAAGCTTAATTCTAGCGAGCAAACACACTCAATAAAGGTGAACCGTTATCACAACAACAGACAACTTCACACATGACCACCATTGGTCGCGTACCGTACCGCGATGGCAGGATCGAGCCGCCAAGTGCCTATTAACTTATTAACGTCTTTTGCAACCGTATCCTTGAATATCCTGAAGTCTGCTTGAGTACTTGTTAAGGTCTCTTTCAACCGTATCCTTGAATATCCTTGTAGTCTCTTGCAACCGTATCCTTGAATATCCTTGTAGTCTGCTGGTGTACTTTTTAAGGTCTGTGCAACCATGTCCATGAAAAGCCGCATCCTTGAATTTACTGTAGTCTGCTTGAATACATATTATGGTATTTGCAACCGCATCCTAGATCTTTGTAGTCTGCTTGAGTATTTATTAGATCTCTCGCAACCGTATCCTTGCAGACTGCATGAGAACTTATTAAGGATTCTTGCAACAATATCCGAATATTTAGGTCTCTTGCAACCATATCCTTGAATATCCTGTAGTCTGCTTGAATACTTGTTAAGGTCTCTTGCAAACGTATCCTTGAATATCCTGTAGTCCGCTTGAGTACTTACTAGGGTATTTTGCAACCGTATCCTAGATCTTTGTAGTCTGCTTGAGTACTTATTATCTTACAACCGCCTGCTTGACTACTTATTAAGGTCCCTTGCACTGAATCCATCCCGACTCTTGAGCACCCAAATCTTATGTTCCTGTCCCGTGTCTAGAGTACTTATCCAGGTCTCGAATTGAAGACCCACTTCCCATCTAAGACCACAGACTATTAGGATCATTTTTTATTTACCATATAATAATCATAGTATAAGTTTATTCCTCAATAAAAACATAAAATCACACTAAAGCCACTGGATTTCTCAAGTTCCTATTTCCTAACAACTCTTTGAAACATCTTTGCTACACTTTGCCACTTGTGCCCTCAATCCAAATATTAGCTCTATTCTTACTAGGCTTATTTAGTTTATTCTTCTACTTTTTGAACTACTTTCTGAATAAATGTTATACCTTATACCTCACTGTAGTACAGTTTAAAATTTATTTGTGCATTTTATTGCAACAATCAAGAGATGGACACATAACTTTCAAGTTCATTTATGCATGTCCACCCTACAATCCGTCTTGTTGGTCAGTCAGTCCAAGTATATTTGTGAGCAATGACATTTATTGTTTATTTGACACACATATTTACACAACCCTTTTGTTTGGCCTAAGGTCGAGCCCTAGTGAAATTCATTGTAATCGCTTCATAAGCCGATTTCAAGTTTATTGTGTGTGGTATGAGCCCAAATAGGCTCCGACCGAATTTAGCCTAGAAAAATGTTTGTCAAATTTGGTGAAAATCGATCCAAGTATAGCTATATCTCCAATATATATGTTTTATACGATTTGATATTTAAATCCCCCACATCCGTAAGATGCACTTCATAAGAATGACATTGGGCACAATATATCAGATACACCATTTATATACTTTTCCCAAATTTGTTCGAGATCAAGATCTCACCCCTCCTTATCAATATTAAATCCAATTGTATATTTCATGTTTTTTTGGCTCAGTCACTTTGTCTGGCATTTGAATTATTACTCAGTCATCATTACCCCATATTTTTGGTGAACGAATTATTTAACATTATAATTTTTTTTCTTTTCCAAAATTTTGCAAGTCATGACATTGGATGGTGACATTGTATTATAAAAAATATCTGGTCACTAGACAAACAATACTGCTAGAGATAAGAAACATTTTAACTTATCAAATTCTAAAATCGATGAAACTGATTGTTTACCCCTTACGAGGCGGTAAACAAAACATTTTCCCATACTCGCTTTCAGTATTTAAATCGTACTCGCAACTAACGTACAGTAGCTTTGTCAACGACGGAACAATGAAATTAATGTTCGTGCTAATCACTAATCTACTGTTGTTAGGTGCCAGCAATGGGGCAAAAATCTTATCGGTATTCCCTTATCCCGGACCATCGCAATATATTTTTATTTCACCGTTGCTAAAAGCATTGGCCGAAAAAGGCCATGACGTGACGTCGATTTCAACATTTCCCCAATAGAAGCCGTTTAAAAATTTCCGCGATATTGCTGTTATGGAAAATGCCCAAATGTATGATGGTAAGTCGGTTGCACTGTTTTTTTTTCTTTTTTGAAGAAATGCATTAGATAAATGCATTCGCGAATTATTGTGAAACATTTTTATACCCTTAATAATGTGGCTATATAGGGTATCATTTGATACGGCCAAAACACGCCTGTTCGAAATAACGGGTTTAGATCCTAGATCTCTTTGGATCAAATCGGTTTCAGGACATTTGGAGTCGATCTAGCGATGGCTGGCTGGTGCGCGAAGTCTCGAAGGGAGTATCCGATTTGATCCAAACTTGGTACATCGGAATATTATTATCAAACTTATGTCGAGTTCCGAAATTTTCATAAAAAAAAAACTTAACAGAAAGAGAAAGGATAATCCGATTTTGCTCCAACTTTGCAAACCCAAACATTTGCGAAAATGGACAATATCGGTCTATCATCAAGTACCTTCCACATAAAGGGTTAACATTCTGAATAATTATAACTCTCATAAAATGTAATGCAAGAGTCCGATTGTCTTCAAATTATACAAATCACAATACTTTTATTATCAAAAGGTATGGTGTGAAGATGGTAGATATCGGTCCACTCCTTTCGTACCTCTCCCCAAAAGGGTCAACATTTTGAAAATTCATGCGTAATTAAAATCCGATTCCATTCAAATTTCACATTTTTGCTAACACAAGATCTGTTGTGATGATGGTATATATCTACGAACCACTTCTGGTACCTCACCCACAAAGGGTTACAATTTCCAATACTTTTATCTGGCATAACTTGCGAAACAAATCAGCGACTCTTTACAACTTGGTGTATCTAAATCAGGGTGAGATAAAAAAAAAACTGCAACAAAGACAAACGCCATAATATTTACCTTTTTCTTCATTTTTTTGAATGAAAGCAAAAAACGTCGGAAATAGCATCAAATTTTATAATAAGTTTAGATTTTTTCGAATTGGTCACCTTTGGCACGAATTATGACCATCAAACGGCCAATGAAACCGTCACACGCAGCCCGAGCAGAGCAACTTCTGCTGTATTTTGGCACATTCCCGGCGAAGCGCTTGCTTGAGGTGATTAACACTTTGGTATTTTTCAGTGCCAATCTTGCTTTCCCAAATACTCCGAACACAATAGTCCAACGGATTGGTATCCAGAGATTTTGGGGGTCATTGTGCGCTCGAAATGAAGCGAGGAACTTCAATTTGTAACCATTCTTGGGTGGCGCGTGCTGAGTGCGATGGTGCGGAGTCCTGCGGCCAAAATGTTTGCGTGCCCAAGGCTTTACTACACCCTCACAATATTTTTGCGATAATATTCGGCATTTATTCTGATGCCGAACCTGATTCCGATTAATACGAGCAAAGAGCGACCATCGGCTGTTATGGCGGCCCACATCTTCACCATGGCCGGCGCTTGAGTTCTGGTGGCCAACCGAACGTGCACATTTTAAGCTAACCACTTTGGCAAGTGAACACTATAATTTTGTTTGTTTACAAACTGCTGGACAACGAATGTTTTCTCATCGGAGAAAACCAAATTCGAAAGTTCACCAAGCGCAGCAGCTCTTTAGCTCTTTTGAGCCTTTTTTCTTTCTGTTGCAGTGTAAGTTTTTGCACTTTTTGGAGTTTCAATGACTTTACCCCGAGCTCATTTTTCAATATTTGCCGAATGGAATATTGCGATATGTTCAGCTCACGAGCCATTTTCGTCCATTGCGACGCGGGTTTCGATCAAGTCGTTTCTTTACTTTTCGAACCATTTCTGCTGATGTTGCTGTTTACTTCCGTCCACTTCCTAGACTTGGGCTACGCTACTAGTATCACGGTAACAAGCGATGGTACGAGACACAAAAGGTTTATTCACATTTAAATGCTGGAGTACACTGACGATAGCCACTTATGGTTTTCCAGCCAAATATAAAGGAATCACACTATCACGCTAGAATTCGATCACGAAAATTCTCACCAAAATAATTTTGTATGCTTCTAAGCGTTTATAATGGGCTGTCACTGAAATAATTTTAACAGCTGTCGGACGAGTGGCTTGGAAATGACAGCAGTCTGAATTTGGTTGCAGTTTTTTCATCTCACCTTGTATTTCTCTCAACTGGAAACCTGAGATGAATATGGAATTTATGATTGGATATACATTTCCGATTTTCTGGAAATTTTGCCCATACCAATTTTTATCTGTATCAGGTGAAGTTTTTTTTTATCTGTACCTGGCACCTGACACATATTTTAACATTTTCTTAAAATTATCTCATTTCTCATACAAAGTGAAGGAAGTAACCAATATAGACCGAAATTAGGCTGACTGTGGACCTTTCCAAAATTAATGCGTGGATCTTCACAAGATTCCAATTATCAATAACATCTTCTTCGCAATAGAAAATTATATAAATTGAATTTTGTCGTATAGTGTAATATTCAATTTGATTTGTATTTTTTCAGACTACACCACCGATGCAGCTGACACAAAAAATAAAAATCTCTTTGAGGAATATATCGATTTTGCCGAATTCGGCGAAAGAGTGACAAGCAATATATTTGAAAATCCCCATGTTAAGGAAGTAATGAAAACCGAGCAATTCGATTTGATAATTGTGGAAGTGCTGATGTCTGAATCCCTCTTGGGTTTGGGTGAATATTTCAAAGCTCCAGTGGTGGCCGTTTCAACATTTGGCACCATAAGTTTCATTGACTATTTGGTGGGGAATGTATCACCTCTCTCATATATACCACACATGAGTTTACCCTATAAAAACCCTATGTCCGTGTGGCAAAGATGTGTCAATGTCATTTCGGAACTTATTGACAATTTTTTGGTAAATTATTTCATTTTACCCTCCCAAGAGAAAGTGTATCGAAAATATTTTCCCACTGCCAAATTAAGTTTGAATGAGGCCCGTAAAAACGTCTCCTTGGTTATGATAAATGACCACTTTACACTGCGCCAACCACGGCCGTTTGTACCCAACATGATTGAAGTTGGTGGAATGCATATTAAACAAAAACCAGAACCACTGGAGGATGATCTGCAAGAATTTCTCGATAATGCCAAGGAAGGTGTTATCTATTTCTCCATGGGTTCCAATGTCAAGAGTAAAGATTTGCCCAAAGAAAAATTACGAATTTTGCTGGATACCTTCAGGGAATTAAAAATCAAAGTTTTGTGGAAATTTGAATTGGAAGAATTGCCGAATAAGCCAGATAATGTTCTCATACGCAAATGGTTCAATCAACCCTCCATATTGGCCCATCCCAATGTTAAGCTGTTCATTTCGCATGGCGGTTATTTGAGCACCACCGAAACAATATTCCATGCCAAACCGATATTGGGCATACCACGCATGGCCGATCAATTTATGAATGTGAAAAATGCCATCCATGCTGGATTTGCTTTAAGCGTACGCCTCGAAGACATGACTAGGGAATCATTTAAAGCGACAATTTTGGAATTATGGCAAAATCCAAAATATACCCAAGCTGTGCGTCGCCTCTCGAAACGTTATCGTGATCAACCATTAACGCCCCTGCAAAAGGCTTTGTTTTGGACAGAATATGTCTTACGCCATGATGGAGCTGTGCACATGCGCAATGCTGGCCAAGATTTATCATTTGTGGCCTATAATAATATTGATGTGTATCTGTTGTTATTTTTAGTATTTGTAATTGTTTGTAGTTTATTGATTTATTTAGTAAAACTATTTTGTGAAATATTTTCAAAACTATTCTTAAAACAACAGAAAAGAAAACCCGAATAAACTTTTATAAAAATTACATAATATGTACATAAAAATTACATATTCTTTCATTCTCAATAAAAAGCATGATAATATTTTTTTCAAGTAAGAAAGAAGGAAAGTAGAGGCATTTATAACACCATAAAAAAGGAGCCAAGTTCAGACGAACCTTTTATACCCTCACCATTTGGATGGAACTTGCAAAATGTAAAAAAAAAAATCCGTTGAAAATGCAGCTATAATTTTAAATATTCAGAATATGAGGTGTTACGTTTATACTTATCTATGCGACAACGTGGACCTTTACAGTCAATTATCAACCAGATTATCAACCAGGTGCCGTTTACGAACTAAAAACATAAGATAACATTTCAATCATAAAAATACCATGGGCGTCTACAGCTAATTATCTGCCAGAGAACATGGTTCCTTTACATACTGCAAATACCAAGTTTGAGACAATTATGTTAAACAAGAGAGCAGGCTACAGTCGAGCGGGGCCGACCGTTGAATACCCTACAACACTATAATAAACGATACAGTTTATATAGGCGAGATACTCGAAACCATTCCACAAGATATTGTGACAAATAATAAAAGAAAACGATCAGGTTTCGTTCTTTAATTTTCGAATAATAGCAACTTAAACTAATTTGCTCATTTCCAATTTATTGGTAGATGTTGCACTTAAATGGTCTTCCTAGATCTGGAACCAATATTTCCCAAAAACCTATAATCTCTCAGAAGTGGCTTTTGACTGAAATGCATCTATATGAGATACAGACATTTGACTATATTCTTCAACGAAATCAGCGTTAACGAAATAGTCAGAAATGCGTCTTTCCTGTATTTGTGAATTCTCCAAAAAGTCACTGGAATGGACATTTTCGTATTTTGTCTACAAAAGTTGGCAAACTATTTCACAAATTGAATATTTTTGGATGGCCATCCAAAACTGCTTGGCTTTTTCAATGCCCGGTAACCCCCATTCAAATGTGCGTGAGGCAATAATTACGACCTGCTGACAATTTTGCAGTTTTTTTGGTCCATTTCAACCACTAAATATATGGCGATCATCTTCAAAAAGAGTAGGCTTCTATTCTGTCCCTCATCTGATATACAATGTTCTTCCATCCTAGCAAAAACGAACTACAAATACAAAATTGTAGACAAATCTGCACGAAAATGTGGCTTTAATCGTCAAAATACCGAGAATCGGGGGGTACCATTATATGGGGTTATACCAATTGGTGGACCTTTAGCGAATAATTTTTACAGGGAGAAAACAGACCTACCTGGAATCCCAATTGTCAAGTTTGAGCTAATTTGGTTGTAAATTGTGGCAAAAATCTTCAGAATTCTGAAAATCGGGGGCTGCACTTAAACGTTTACCGATATAGCCCATTTTCAATACCAACCAACCTGCATATAATATAAACCTTTGGGCAAAATTTCAAAGCTCTTTATTATTTAATACGAACGAAGGGCGACCATCGGCTGTTATGGCGGCCCACACCATCACCATGCCAGGCGCTTGGATTCTGGTGACCAACTGAAGGTGCACATTTTCAGCTGACCTCTTTGGCAAGTAAACCCTTTATTTGTTTACAAACTGCTGGACAACGAATGTTTTCTCATCGGAGACGAAGAAAATCAAATTCGGCAGTTAACCACTTTCGGGCAAGCGAAGCAACTCTTTAGCTATTTCTTTCTGTTCTATTTCTATTTCTATTTTCTTTCTGTTGCGGTGAAATTTCTTACACTTTTTGGAAATTCAATACTCATTTTCTAATATTTGCCGAATGAAATATTGCGATATGTTCAGCTCACGAGCCATTTTTCGGCCACTGCGAACGGGTTTCGATCAAGTCGCTTCTTTACTTTTCGAACCATTTCTGCTGATGTTGCTGTTTTCTTCCGTCCACTTCCTTGACGTCATGCTACACTACCAGTATCACGGTAATGAGCGATGGTACGAGACACAAAAGATTTATTCACATTTAAATGCTGGAGTGCTGTAACGATAGCCTCTAGTGGTTTTCCAGCCAAATATAAAGAAATCACACTATCACGCTTGAATTCCATCACGAATGACCTTTTTTTCTGGAAAATGCTCACTGAAATGCTTTTGTACGCTTGTAAACAATATAATGAGCTGTCACTGGAATGATTTTATTAGCTGTCGGACGAATGGCTTAGAAATGACAGCAGTCTGAAGTTGGTTGCAGTTTTTTCATCTCATGTACAGTTCTCTGCAACGATGATTCCAACATACTGGAAACACAAACTCCAAATTTATGAAATTGTGACTAAATTTTGTTTGCACTTTTTCCCTTAATCGAAATTTTAATTATTTAAATATTAGTAATGTCTTCGTTTTCTTGTCAACTAAAATGATGTTTTGTAAGAGTGTTTCGCAAAAACTTACATGAAATACGGATTCAACCCATTTTATGTTTTGCATTTGAGAAAATGAGTATTTATTCAAAATTCAGATCTCTTGTGTTAGAGGTTTAAGAAGGACTGGGTCGAAAAATCCCAAATTCACATTAAACCTGGGGTTAACTAAAACATTGAAATATACATATAGATGTTGACATATACTTGTTTCGTATTTTATAGGAGTTAAAGGTATTTGTTTTGTGCCAAGTTTGAAAATAATCGGGGCATTATTCCGCATTTTTATACCCTACACCACAAGGTGGTCAGGGTATTATGTATTTGTGCATTTGTTTGTAACAGGCAAAAGGAAACGATGTAGACCCATAGTTCATTTTGATGATCTGCATAAAATCACATTCTGAGTCGATTTATGCAAGTCCGTCCGTCTGTCCATGTATTTTTGTAAACAAAGTACAGTTCGCATTTATTGCCCTAACCAGATGAAATTTTGCACTAATCAAGGACGAAACCTATTGAAATTGGAGATAATCGGTCAAAATTTACATATAGCTCCCATATATATCGTCGTCCGATTTGCCTTTTATTGTGCGTCAAACGTGTAATATCAGTCCGAATAGTATGGAATTTTGCACGTACGATCAGATTGGACCTGAAAATAAGTATGCCAAATTTGATCGAAATCGGTTCAGATATAGCTATAGCTCCCATATATATTGTTTATCCGATTTGTCATTTTTGTCCTCCGCAGCACTCTGTATCAACAATATTTGGGGAAATATATCAAATACAGCTCAGAAATACATTTTATCGAGATCGGTTAATATTTGGATATAGCTCCCGTATATAACTTCGTCCGATTTACCTTTTGATTGTGCATCAAACGTCTAATATTTGTCCAAATTGGATGAAATTTAGAACATATGACCCAATTGAGTCTAGAAGCTAGTACGTCAAATTTGGTGAAAATCGATTCGGATATTGATTTAGCTCCCATATATACTGTTCATCCGATTTGTCATATTAGTTACCCACAGCCGTAATATGCACTCCGTAACAACGATATTCATGGAAATATATCAAATACAGCTCAGAAATATCTTTGCCAAATTTTATCGAGATCGGTTCAGATTTGGATATAGCTCCCATATATATCTTTATCCGATTTCAAATTAAATGTGCACCAAATGGGCAACACAATTCCGAATTTAAAAGATACAAATGCTTCGGCATATTTAGTCCTTTGAACTTTAAATTATAATTATAATCATAGCGTGTATGATTGAATTCTCCCATAAAAACTTTTAATTGTTATGTGGAGCTCTGTTTAATTAGCAAAGTGGTGTAGGGTATCATAAAGTCGGCCCCGCCCGACTTTAAGACTTTCTTTACTGGTTTTGGTTATTCTAAATCTGACATTTTGGGGGAGGTGACAGAAAAAGTGGAAGGAGTAGAATCTTTCTAGCCTACCTTCCTTTGTGGGGGAGTAACTGATAGAGTGGTCCGATTTGCAAATTTTAACAAACTCGAAAGATCCTTTCTTCTTCTATGATGTAAATTATTTTGATTACCATGAGGAGTGGACCGATATTGCCCATCTCCAAATTCGACACATGTTTCATAATAATAATTTGATGTACCACGGTTGGAAGTAACCGGATACTTCCATGTAGAGACATTCGATAGTAGGAAAACCTTAAGTCCTACCAACTAGTTTTTTTTTACAGTTGCCTTTAATATTTTGGATAGACGTTTAGGGTCTATCTGTTTTTTTTTTTTTTTTTTTTTGTTTCATTTTACATATGAAACATATCATTTGGAGATAAACACAAATGGTAGACATATAAAATTGTATGTTTATGTTGAGACTATATTTTTCTATTTTGTGCTAACCTTCAATTTTGCAAAACTCAAAACGTGACTTCCCTGTAAATGTGTGAATTATTAAAATTTCATAAATCATTGAAGATGGTATACTGTAGCAATTTTGCAACGGTCCTTTGCCACATAACTAGTATGTACTACTTCTTTTTTCGATTCGATGATTTACATACCAACATGTTTACTTAAAGTAACAAAACGTTATCACATACTCAAAAGATCGGGAGGAGATTTGTCACAGTTATTAGAAAATGAAATGTGCCCCTTTTCACCAACCACACCCTCCCCCCCCCCCCTCTTTTTTTGGCATGCAATGTCTATACTTTTGTTTTTGGCATAGCATAAATTCTTAATGGAAATTTGCCATTCGTAGAATATGGTTTATGTATGTTCACACAAATGGGATTATCTGCATATTTTGAGCGGTGGAAGTGTGGGGTTTGTGAAATTCGACTATGCTGTTTGGTTTGAAGTTCATAGGTTATGTAAATCTTCACAGAGCATAGCAAACTCTGAAATAATGAAAAATTTATGAAGTTTTGCAAAGTTTTGTTTTTCGAAGTACCATTTTGTGTAACTGACAAATACATTCGATATGTAATAGACGATAAATCCTATTCAAAAAGTTCAAACATCTATAGGAAATGTATTGTTTCTGAACTTCCCTCTAATGGGGCACCTTAATTTAAAACTTTCTTCTCATTTCAAAACAATTGACATATGAGAATATTTTCCCCTAAGTTCGCAAATTTTGTG